GCAGGAATGTTTAAGACCCCAGGAATGTCATGTTTCCCTTGAGAAGCTGTCAGGGAAGGAAGGGAAAAAGAACCAAATAATTCTGTATTTTTACCTCCTTCCTTCTCTGCCATCTGTTTTTAGATGAAAAATAACATATGGAACTATAATCCTGATTAAATAATAAACACTGTGCGCAGTTTTGTTGAAAATGTGACTCTGATCAAAGTACTATTTCCTTAGGTTTACCAGGCGAGAAAGGAGAAAAAGGCAATCCAGGTGTTGGAACACAAGGACCCCGAGGCCCACCAGGATCTACAGGTGAAGTTGTTACATTTGGGACATGGGATTAGACCACTCTGATCCATGTGCAAAGCAGCTAAGACCTGCAGGGCTCTGTCCTGCACTTCTAAGGCTTAAGCAGCAGCAGAGTCAGAAGTTCAGGAACCTTAACTGTCATAATTTTCTTACTACGTAATATGACGTTGTGATGTGTCACATGATGGTGTCATCAGACACACAAGTATTTTCCTTTTCTCTGTGATAAACTTGCTTCTCCAAGACCACCTTTTTTAATGTTTTAATTATTTTTTTGAGAGATGGAATCTGGAAGGGAAAAAATTAATCTGGATTAATTGCATTTGTTTTCCCATTCACTCAAGGTCCTACATAACTATAACTTGAAGGAGAAATGTATATTAATTAAGCACATTAATCACAAGGATTTATATTTAGCTCCTGAAAAAGGAGAGAGGGTGATATCCAGGTCCTGCTGAAACAGGCGTACAATTGTGTTGACTTCGTGAGGCGGCTTGGGAGCTGCGCAGGCATCCAGGGCTGTCCCATGCCATGAAACTGCCTTTCTGAATGTCTGATGCTTGGTGAAACATTTGCTGTAGTATACATTTCCGGCTAAAAGCTGTCTCTGGCAAGGAAGACGAAGCAGTGGCCAGAGAGGAGGCTCGTCAGGAGCTGCTGCTTTGTCTTCCTTGGCAGAGGAAGGCTGCAGCCTTTCCCTCAGCTTGCCCAGGGGAGTCAGAGCCAGGATGCCCAGCCCCTCTGCTCGGACTATCTCCTGGAAGTGTTTGCAGCACGCTCAGTGCCATGGTTTCCAAGCACCAGGCCTGCCAAGGTGGTCTCAACTCACTGCCTTATGAAAGACGTTGCTCAGATGTTTCATCTCCCCCTTCTACGCAGGACCCCCAGGAGAAAGTCGAACTGGTAGTCCGGGACCGCCAGGTTCTCCAGGCCCACGAGGTCCCGCCGGGCACATGGGGCCTCCGGGCTCACCGGGTCCTTCTGGCCCGCCGGGGTACTGCGATCCATCCTCCTGCGCTGGTTACGGCATGGGAGGTGAGTAGTCAGCAGTCGGGGCGGCTGCCGTTTGCAGAGGCGGGGATGGCATTTTCTAACAGCCAAAGTAAGATGGAGGCTACTGGTGAACCTGCTAAAATGTGGTAGCTCCCCGAAAACGTGCGTGTCCAGCGCTGCTGTATTTTGTGGCACTGCAGCACGAAGAGAGGGTGACCCCAGCGTAGTGACCAAAGGAAGTCCACCATCTGATCCCGGCCTGTAAAATGGACCGCGTGTAGCGGGTTTTTGTCCTGTATGTGTTTGTGTAGTTGTACGAGCCTGCTCCACCTCAGCTGAACAGTCTGTGTGTTCAATCCCCACCTCCTCATGTTCGTGACAGCAGAGTTTTTCAAACGTGTTGCTCAACTTCCTCTTCCGTGTGCCTCCGAATGGCATGAGAGCATGACCCTTACTAAACCCCTAGTAGTGTAACCCGACAGAGGGATGCACGTGTCCGTCATTAACCAGCGAAGCAATCTGGAGAAAATGATTCTTTCTACATCTTCTCTGTGTCTTACTTTCCCGTCTCGTTATAGCACGGAGAGGCCATGGGAGGAAGTCAACACCATTACCAAAAATTATGTCGCCCAACCTAAAATCAAAATTTCTTAGTACAGCACTAGTTACTGCAAATGTTACACATAAGGCTTATTTGTTTGATGTTGACGGTTTAATCTGCCCGTGAGCTGATTTGTACGTTTTACTTACCTGAATGTTTTTGTTGTCGTCTCTTCCTGTCCTTTTCTCCTCACTTCCCCTCCCCGTTGTTCATTTCCTGTTTTAAGGCCCAATCCCTTACAATGGCTACCAATCCAGAAGGTGAAAGGCTCATTCTGGTTCAGGTCCCATTTGGCTGAAGGTCAGAGATGGATGCTGAACTGCTCTGTGCTTTCCATCAACGATATTGACTACCACTAATGAACTTACTAGCTGCTGTACATGCACTTAGCTTCCTTGCACTGCTAAAAAGTATTGCCTGACCCATTTTGCCTGTTGATCGTGTACTCTAGTCCATAGCTGGAATAAGCTAAAGCAGGCAGATTGTGCAGTGTATAATGAGCGCAGTGTTACAACTGGACAGTTGACAAATTCTGGTGGTGGTTTCCAACTAACTTGGCTGTCTGTTGGTGGGTTTCCAATTGCTCCAGCTTATTAATTTTGTTAAATGTTTTCACTGTTCCTTTATGTGAATAAAAGATGTGTATTTAAAGATTATATATATATATATATACACTCACACACACGATATAGAAATATATCTATATATAAAATGTCAATTTCCTAATGAGTGCTTTAATTTTCTACTCCCCTTCTCCTGTGTTAACCATATGAATACTCTCGGTGGTGGTGGGTTAAGGTGGATACGGTGAGCCAACTGATCAAGACATCCCAGTAGTGCAGTTGCCACATAACTCCTACCAAATCTATGACCCTGAGGACCTTTATGATGGTGAGCAAGAGCCGTACGTAGTTCACGGGTCCTACCCCTTACCATCCCCATACTCCCAGTCCTCCTATCCATCGCCTCATGTTGCTCAACCAGAGTTTACTCCTGTTCGAGAAGAGACGGAAGCCGTTGAACTGAGATCCCCGGGAATTAGTCGCTTCACAAGGAAGATAGCCAAAAGGAGTGTCAAGACTCCGGTACGCAAAAGGGCGAGTGGAAAAAAACCCTCTCAATGAACTGTTTAAAAAAGGGAAACATTTTATGTGCGTCTGTGTTTGGCCTTTTGTCCAGGTGCCTAACCTGTCACGGAAGATGTTTACAGGCTCTTATATTAAAGGAGAAAAAAAATGTACATGACCCGTTGACACAACAAATAATGGTAATTATCTTGCATGCCAGAAACTTAGTATGCTAGTGGGTTGGTGCTAGATGATGATGAAAGGTCACTTTTAGATCTTTCTCTGGAGTACTGCTCCATACACTATTCAAACTGTATCTAAAAATCCGCATCAGGCTAGTTGGTGAACGGAGAACCAGTCAGAAAATTTAATTTTTATTTTTTTTTTAATCCATGTTTTTCCAGTTGATTATGTTCTGTTAGTTTTGGATGAATTGCTTTACTAGCAGAGTAACCCTACTAAATTCACCGGAAAACAACGCATCATCAGGTTTCCTTGAACCCAGCTATAACTTTTGCAAAGAAATCTTATGTTAATGGAATATTTGTTTTTAACCCACATTATATAAATACACAAGAACGTTCTGTGGGAGCACACTGATAATTTATTGTGAACCTCTCTCATTTCTGTTTTGTATGCAAATAAAAGTGGCGAGCTTTTATACGTTAATTCTGTATTTGATTGCTTTTTAACTTGGAACAATGGTATTGATCTTTGGGGAACAGAATGTAAAAAGAACAACGTACATTGTCCTTTTGCAACCCTTTTGAGCAACAGTTTTATGTTAAAGGATATAGGCACTTAGTATAAACAATATTTAGCCCCATTTTTAAAGTTTTATATGAACAAATCTAGAGAGTAACTAGGAGATGAGGTGGTCATACCCTCTATGGCCGTGAGTTTTTGCATATCGACATGCCAAAGCCAAAAGCCTGGCAGGCGTAGTCGCAGAGGCAACCTGGATCAGCTAATGACGAGAGGAAGGAAAAACCCCAGCCCTACCACTGGAGGAGCGCAAAGCAATTCATTATGTTAAAACAAACCAGCTAAATTATAAAGTGACTCAAAAGTAACAGCTTTGAACAGCACCATGGAGACTAAGCATCAAAGCAGGATTTGAAGTAGCAGCTCAGAAATGTTCATTTAAGCGGAAGGCACAGATTTGGAACACTTTTAACCCAGCCCTATAAGGACAGGGAGAGAGGGCTGGTCTGGGGGCCAGGACTCTGCTCCTGCTTGCCCTGACTGGCTTTGAGCTGTTTGTGCTTGGTAAGGAAAGACCTGTCAGCTTTTGCTTCTGGCCACTGCCAGGCGCTCTCTTAGCCCACCAGGAGCAGGACAAGCCGGTACCTTTGCTGTGTGATCGCAAGTTATCTGGCCTAGAATTCAGCCTCACGAATAGCACAAACCACTGATACACGCGCCTAACACCCACAGCGGTGCCTGTCCCAGGGTGAGCGCCAGCTAGGTGGCTGTAAAACTTTCTATGCGGTGTTTCTGTTTTCCCATTATTTCTCTCGCTCCTAACTCCCACCACTTCCTTGGAGAAAAGTGGATGGAAATGTGAGTCAAATGCCGTTTCCTTACCTGGACTTGCATTTAAAGTAGGAGACGGTAGAAAAGGATCACATAATTTACGGACTTTAAGCAGCTTAACCCCAGTTTACAGACTACTGAAGCACCTAGTGAGCGTGGCTGTGTGTGCACACGTGTACGCCTCGTAGCCTGGCACACATAGCTGCCAGAGAGATATTATGAAAATTAAATACAGGTTATGGGTGTATTGTGTGATTAATTTACCTGCTTGCACTTGGCTGTGAACACCCATGTTAAGTCTCCCTCTGCCCCCCTCCAGGCTGGCGCTCTCCCACCCACCTGTTGTACGGACACCTTCTAGAGTCTTCCCCGTGATGTGCCAAATTGTAGGTCCTGTGGCAGTGACTCTGAGAAGGTCAGTGATGGAAAATCAGCATTCAAGCAATTGTGCCTGTGTTGTCTCAGAAAGAGTTTGAGCCTCACGTGACAATTCATAATTAATTTGCACCCCAGCCTGGTTATCAAGCAACGCTGTATGTGAATCTCAAGTTCCTGTGGGACCAGGAAGCATGGTAGGGCAAAAACCAGGGATGTAGGGAAGACAGCACAGACATAGTCAAATGCTTCAAAATAAGGCAACTGGTGTTATTTGCCCCATATTTGAGATGAACAGCAACAGCCTGACCAAATTGCCGAGTGTGCCTGTGCTGCGCGGTCGGTGTCACCTACGCTGTGCCCCTCCAAAGCTCCTGCGCCGGCCGCCCGGGCAGGGGGAGGAGCTGGAAGCAGCACCGCACCTCCTGCCCGCGGGGAACCCGGGCACCCCCGGCCT